TAATATAAAAACATATTTATTATATATATTTAACGTGGGTTAAGGGCGCTAGAAAAACAGTTAATTAACCATTTTTTCTTTTATACGTAAAACAGGGAGCAAGAATGGAAAAAAAAAAAAAAAATTATAAAATGGTTTTAATAGATCTGTCCACGTCGTATATCCCCCCACGGCTCACGCCATCTCTTGAAGAAGCAAATACAGTGTTCACGTTTTTATCTCTTCATTTTGCATCTTCTTCAGATTCCATCGTCTCGTTTGTTTTCTGGGCCGCATCTTCAAGGTAAAATCCGATCGTTAGTTGATCTCCAAATTCGAATGTCAATTTCGTTGTGGATATCATCTCAAATCTGCTAAATTCCGTGTTTGCTATTTGTTTAAGCTTCCGTAGCTGTGAAATCCATGGATGAAGTAGTCGTGGTTAGGGAAAACCAGCATCCAGAAAGCAATTGAGATTAGATTCTGTTTTCTCTCATTAACAATTCGCCTGCATTTTTATCGAGCATTAGGGTTTATAATGTTTTGATTTTGTTTGTGAAGATCTGACACAGATTTAATTTTTTGCGAATTACTTTAGATGTTCCTATGTTTTGTCTGTTGATTTCTTCTAATTTCTTCTAATTGACCTATATTCAGTAGATTCATTCGCTTGCAGTTGAAATTGTTGTTGTTGTTGTGGTTCTCAAATGATCTTAAGCTTAGCCTAACTTGTGTACATAGTAGCGATTTATATAAGTGATCTTGGAATGCAGGGCGTACTCAAATTATTTTCTGGTTGTTGAAACATTAGAAGATTTCGACTGGAAATGAGTCAGAAGGGCTTGATTTACAGCTTTGTTGCTAAAGGAAATGTTGTCTTAGCTGAGCACACCTCGTATTCTGGCAACTTTAGCACAATTGCTGTTCAATGTTTGCAGAAGCTTCCTTCAAATAGCAGCAAGTACACGTATTCATGTGATGGGCACACATTTAACTTCCTCATTGACAATGGATTTGGTAATTATGTTTTCTTGTTTATTCATTTATATTCAGTTTCTGATCAAAAGCTCACGGTTGATGATTGTTTTTCTGGTCCTGCAGTTTATCTTGTTGTTGCAGATGAATCAGTTGGCAGAGGTGTGCCTTTTGTTTTTCTTGAACGAGTTAAGGATGACTTTAAGCAGCAGTATGGTGCCAGTATAAAAAATGCAGAAACCCACCCACTTGATGATGATGATGACGATGATGATTTATTTGAAGATCGATTTAGCATTGCATACAATCTTGATAGAGAATTTGGGTACATACGAGCTTGATTATTTTAAAATTGAGCTCATTCTATGTACAATACAGCATTAGAGTTCACATCTTCTTTGCTTCATGCTTGTGCATGTAAGATATTAGCATTCTTTATTAGGAAGCGTGCTAGTGTGTATAACCTTTTTTCCACCTATGTTTAATAGGCCAAGGCTTAAGGAGCACATGCAATATTGTCTGAACCATCCAGAAGAAATCAGTAAGCTCTCCAAATTGAAAGCTCAAATAACTGAGGTCAAAGGGATTATGATGGATAATATTGAGAAGGTATGTCTTTCTTTTCTGGGAGAGTGGTGCAGCTTATAGAGACAGTTGAATGAGGTTTAAAGTCATCAGCTTAAGGGAAGGAAAATATATTAGTTAACATTCTGTAATTAAATCATTGTTTCTGTTTCTGCCTCTAAAAATCTTCCAAAAGAACTGCTTGGGATGTTTCACTTTGACCAGGTTCTGAGAAGCCTATAGTTCTTATGTGTGGGTGCCTTCTTAGTTGATTACTATGGAATATGATATGTGGTTGGGAAGTATTGGTGGAGAAGAAATGAGTAAGTGAAGGGGTTTTACATGACTTATCAATTGGCCAGTGGCCACAATGTGGTTTGGAGATGTGTATGTGGCTGGAGGAGTATTGGTGTGTTATTTTTTGTACAATATATTTAATAAATGATAACTGCTTTCAGTGAAGTCTTGGTCTAAAGTTGATTTTCAAGGGCCTGAGCATCTATGAAGGTTTATGCTATCAGTTTTCCCTGTGGTATATAAAATTGTTCATATCAATTGTGATAGAATGTAACTTCCTCTATTGTTCCAATATGCTTCTTTTTTTTTCCCCTCTCCATATTGCCTAGCAGACAACTAACTCAAAACTTCATCCATTATATCATGCAGGTTTTAGATCGTGGAGAGAAGATTGAACTTCTGGTGGATAAAACAGAGAACTTACAGTTTCAGGTAAATGCTTCTCCTCAATGATTTATGCAAATTAAGATGGAGTTCATGCTATGCACACTTGCGTAACCACATGTTTTGAACTTAGGCTGATAGCTTCCAGAGGCAAGGCAGGCAACTGCGGCGAAAGATGTGGCTGCAGTCTCTCCAAATGAAGTTGATGGTAGGAGGAGCTATTGTCGTCCTCATAATCATAGTGTGGCTCATTGCTTGTGGGGGCTTCAAATGTTGATGGGATAAAGCAATTTGGAACCGTTAGTAGAATTTTTTGTGTACCCTTTTTTGTTTCTTTCTCACATGTACAAAAATGGTTGTCTCTGGAAATTGCCTTTAGTAGCATGCAACAACCTTTTCAGTATTTTATGTCAATCCAACATACTTTGCACCAGATTCCCACATTAAATTAAATTTACGAACATAATCCATTTACTACCCAATTTTTTAATTGCAGTCAGCATAACTAAATTCAAATTATCATCTCAAATAAGACTAAAAAATACTAATAAATAGCCAAAAAGAAAAAAGGGACAAAAAACAAAATGAATGGTCCCGTCGGAGCGCCATCAAGGAGCGTCGCCGAGGCAGTTGATTACGCGGTCCCAGAGGAGGGAAAGCTTCTCCTCTCTCTCGTTTACCCGCAGTAGGTTACGCTTTTCCAAAAAAGAGTAGAGAAACATCTCTTGTTTTGGCTTTGACCCCTACGCTTCCTCTTCCATCTCTACCCCGACGGTGGCTTCTCCGCTACGCCTCTTCAACCTCCGATTGGTAACAGAAAATTTTGAGGTAATGAGCCAATGAGGACTTTAATTAGGATTGCTTTCAGTTAGTTTGATGCTTCATCGTAATCTCAAACTAACTATGAAATCTTCTCGATTACGCTTTCGCTTTTTCTTGTCTCTTTCTTTGGATTCACGCTTTCTCCTTTTTCCTACTGAAATTTACCTGCATCTATGAGTTGTTGATCTTGATATTGAGTTCGTTTCTCTATGGTGTTTTAGATCTTTTACGGCGGCTGCAATGGGAAATTGTTTCGTTAAGTTGAAGAAATCGCCGGCTGCATACACCAATCGTTATCCGCCGGTCCAACTCTATGGCTCTGCTTCCAGTACTCTCACTGCGTATATCCGCTTTGCTCTGCTTCACAAGAACCTCACTATCCACTTCGTTCCGACAGATACGCCGCCGTTTGCCTACGAGACGCCGGTTCTTCAGATCGGATCCGAGACTGTCTCGGGATACCGCGAGACGCTGCTCCATTTCATCGAGACGAAGTTCCCGAACCCGCCGCTGGTGATTGTTTCAGTGGAAACGACGCCGTTGGTAGTGAGGGTGACGTGGCTGCAACATCAGAGTGTGATGTGGCATATTGAGAGGATGGTAAGGTGGACGGAAGATCTGGCGACGCGTCGAGGGAAGAAGGCCGTCGATCCAGCGGTTGGAAGTCCAAGGATGGAGGTTAAGAAGTTCGAGAAGAGTTACTCTCAGCTGCTGGAGGTCATGCTGGAGCACGCTCGGATGGAGGAGACGGTGGTGTTCCCCGTTCTCGACAGGGCCGATCGAGGTATGGGATACCATTATCATCATGCTCGTTAATGCATTGAACCAAAATTACTTAAAAAGGATTGGCTTTCATGGGGGGCGTTCCGAGAATCGAACTCGGGACCTCTCGCACCCAAAGCGAGAATCATACCACTAGACCAAACGCCCTTAGGTGATTATTGTTTCATAAAAAATATTTTTGTTGACATTACAGGAGGTCTTTTGTTTGTATTGGATTACATGGTTTTTGAAGTAATCTGTTAACGAAATCAACGCAGGCATGTCAGAGAATCTCTCAAAATGGTGATTCTATAATTTA